GGTTCACATGATTAACTTATTAAGACTTGAAGGGTCACATATTAATTTAATTAAGATCAATTGTATTTTGAATGTCAATTATTTTTATGTAACTCATGTTAAAATTGTTTAACGACCTTACTTGATTGCGACAATATAAACAATTGTGAAAATAATAATCTTGTTACTAGACTATTAGTAAGATAAAGATTCATGATTTAATAAAGGATTTTTTTCATATATTATTTTCTGTATGAAAATGAAATTTGACATATCATTTTATTTTTAAAAATATATATCTTGATGATTGTTTTGCCACATGAATAAATTATGAATGCCGATGATGAAATAATAGTATAATGCATGTCATCACTTTGTCTATAAGTGGTAACAAGAAAATTATTTACTATGTGAATAGTGAGGGCATAAAAAATGCTATTGCATTAAAATTTTATTTGAGAAAATTATTATGTAATTCAAGATAAATTATCATAATTCTCTCATGATGATAATTATCATAATTTTTCTCATGATGTTTGAATTTTTTGCCACATGTAAATTTTTAATGTGATGCTATTGAAATATTTATATAAGCATTCCTATTATACAAAAGGTATAATGATGCGTATAAAATATTCGGTAAAAGCATTCCTATTATACAAGAGGTATAATGATGCTTATGGAATATTTGGTAAAAATGTTGAGAGAATTGATGGAATTAGTAACATTCTTAATATATAATTGAGATACAATAGTGTTTTGATGAGATTATCCGATAAGTGAAATTAGAGACACTCCTATTGTATAATTAAGATACAATAATGTTGTAATGATATTTTCTAATAAGATAATTTACGGTATTTTGAGAAATTTAAATCTCTAGCTAAATATTGACATTCCTATTATATAGACGAGACACAATGATATCAAATTTATCCGAGAAACTAGAGATTGAAAAATGTCCTTTTATCACTTCAATGTGATTATATTAAATATTTTTCATTGTATTAGAAAATTCAATGATGCTATCATGTTTTAGCACAATGATGGTGATGCAAAAAATAAATATAATTACAATTGGCTCATATATGTGTGGTGAAACTTAAATTGGCTAAAAAGACAAAGTCGATGAAAAAACAAGTGGATGTTATACTTTGTCTAAAGAAAAAATAGTGAGGATAAAAATTCCTACCATTTTTCTTTGCACTAATAAATTGATTCGAGTGCTAGTTATCTAATCATTTAAGTGTATATTGAATATTGTGGGAGTAAATCTTTAGCTAAAGTTGAAAGATTAGATGATATATCGAGGGGGATGAGACTAAGCCCATAAATAAATAAAATCACCTATGTGGATACTCTATCTAGGGATTAGAGATCCCAAGAACTAGGTTCAAGGAAAAGAATGAGCATAGAGTAGTGTGATTACATGCATAATATATTTGAGTTACAATATTCATATGTCTATCCCTATGATGTAGTACATGATCTCATAACGAAAAAGAGGTTAAGTTTCTTTAAATAAAACTTTTAATGTGGTCTATAGTTCTTTTTGAATGGAATGTTAGAGTTATGAGAGCATCCTTGATAGACACACCTATATGAGTGAGGAAGTGGAATTGTTTTTCTATAAGAATAGGGTTAATTCTCTAGAACACTCATAAAAGTCGGGATCAAGTATAAAGCCACTAATGTGTTGGCTCGAAACTCATCGTAGAGTACCTAAATATAATATGTATGATACAATATTTGGTTTACTTAAAAAGCCTTAGTTCAAGAGACAATATTCACTATTGACTTGAGATAAATGTGTTGTTGAAATACTAAGTAAGGGTTCAAGCTCTTAGCACCGTTATTATATATTATATTCATTTCTTTACCCGAAAATATGGCTAATATTTTTTTATAAAAATAAGTGGGGGATTTTTTGAGTATTTTTATAAAAAAAATATAAAATTTTAATTATCTTAATTACTTTGAAAAAAAAGTACAATTTATTATTTTATAAAAATATATACTCGTTTCAAAACATTCATTAGGACATTAGAGTGCAAGCAAGGTTGCCATTTGAAGTCATTAAAAAAATATAAATATTTGGTTATAAATTCTTGCATTCAATTTAAAAAACAATCATGTATTGATTTTTTTTTTTTTTAAAAAAACATGTCTTTAGCTATTTATTCATTTTTTTAATTGTTTTAAACGGTTATTTCTTTTGCCTATATACATTTGCTTGTTAATCATTTTGGAAGGAGTGGGAGATTTATTGGTTATAAAAAATATACATCAATCATATATAATTTACTTAAGAAATGTTTTCATATTATCTTATTTATGCTCCCATTTAAAAGTCATATTATTTTTTATTAAATTGTCTTTAGGTAAAAGTGGTGCTAATTTTATTTTAAAGTTTCAAGTCTTACAAGTAGTGCAAACTTGTTAAGACATAACAAGATGACAGGGCTTGTTGTATCCTTGAGATGACGTGCAATATGTTCTTTATCTCGTTACATCAAATAAATTCTATAGATGATACGTATCGTCTCAAGAAAATAACTCGATACAAATGATACGTATTGTTTCAAGAAAACAACCTGATTGTACCTCGAGCAAGTCACCTAAAAAAATTATGGTAAAACTATTTTACTAGTTGAGTCATTATTATATCATGGCATATTGTAACGTAATTTTAATCTTGAATTCTTTGACGATCAAGATAAAAAATTCTAATTCTTTTATCCATCTTAATTTATGATAAATTTATTTATTTATTATGTTAATTTTTATTATTCAATTATATTCCTTGTGTGGTAGTAACAACACAAAGTCTTGTCCACCCTGTCCATAAATGTTTCAACACCTCTTCTGTCCTATGAATATAGGAGTTTTAGGCTTTAGCCTTGATGGACCAGCGCCATATCCAATGCATTTACTGGTTTGATCCAGTCTGGTATTGGAGCGTACCAATTGATAGTTGACATTCTTGGTTTAGCCTCTTCAGATAATAGCCATCTCTTCTCTCTCCAAGCTCTCTTAGTTTGTTCTTTGAAGTGCACCCTCTTAAAACACTTGATTAGGAACAGTTCTTCTACTTTGGACGAATTGATCTTGATTCCTTTAAGATTCTATCACTAGAAGACAGAACTCTCAATTATGTTTCGCGACTTTCTTTGTTGCATAAGTTGAACTCTACGACTATACCTAACCCAGCAAATACTCCCAACAGATTTTTATTCTGTAAATTAAGGATGTTCCTTTGTATATTGGTTCTTCAAACTCAAACGTGAACTCATAACTAATTGATCTGCAGCTTCCAAATGAAAAGGAATATCTTCCATGAATCATCAGGATTGAAGAGCATCTCTGATGCAAAAATATTTAAAAACACATCTATCTAAGCTTTTAGTTTCAGGTCAAACCACCGATCGAATAAGGTTTCTCCCTTTCGTTATTGCATTCAGGATGTGCACATCCAGCAGACACATCAAAAAAAAAAAAAAGGTGGATTCCTCTGTGGATTATATGAGAATAGGATTCCTTTTGTTTTATTTTATGAAGACCTAGTTTAACAGTTTCATAAATTATCAACCTGCTTTAAAAGTGTCATTGTCACTAGGGCTTCTGATTTGTCATTATCCTAAGAATCCTTTTTGGAATCAGCAGTTTGATGATCCCTTAATGGCAGCCCTAGCTCTCTTCTCCTCCAATCATCCTGGTACGTGGCTTGGGCAGTTATCCTTTGCTACGAAAATATGACAGTAGATATAGAATCATGTTTTGCAGCCAATGATTCTGCGCCACAGGTGACTTCTTTTTATGCTATGGAAAAATGAGTAAAATAATTATGCTTTGCATAACCCCTGTCATAAAAAAAGAATACTTTCATTTGCTTGTTCAAGTTTTCATTCATTATTTAAACTTAGGTGATGTTTGTTAATCGGGAATAGAGTGATGGGAATGGAAATGAAAGTTTTATTCCCACATTGTAATTGTTTGGTTAAAAAGAATGAAGTGGGAATGGGAATGAAGAGTGGGAATGGGAATGAAAATTTACACACAACTTCATTCACACATAAAATGTGGGAATAAAAAACAAGGAATGGAAATGAATTTTTTTTCAAAATAATAATATATTTTATTTATTTATTATCTATTAACTACTTTTGCCACCACCGCCACCACTATCACAACCACCACCACCACCACCACCACTATCTTCATCACCACCACCATCACAACCACCACCACCACCACTACTTTCATCACCACTACCATCACAACCACCACTACCACTATCTTTATTACCACCACCATCAAAACCACAACCACCACCACCACCATCATAACTACAACCACTACCACCATCACCGCATCCACCATCATAATCACCACCACCACCACTACTAACATCATCACAACCATCACCACCACCACCACCACAACTACTACCACTACTAAAATCATCACAATCACCACCACCACCACAACCATCATTATCACAACCATCATTACTACCGCAATCATTATCGCCACCGCCACCACCACTACTAGAACCACCACAATCACTACCATCACCTTTATTATTTTTATAACTATTATAATTTAATAAAATTATTTTTTAATCATTATTTATATTTATATATAAAATCGGATATTAAAAAATCTAAATTACATTCCGATTCCTTATTAGTATTCCAAACACAGTATTGGAATACAAATACCATTTCGATTCCTTAATTTTCATTCCGATTCTCGTATTCCCATTCCCATCACTTTATTCCCGATTACCAAACAAGCACCTTAGCAATGAAGTCAACAAAAGATGGCGAGTGATTCAAGGCAGTGTAGCATTTCCCTCGTGTTTCAGGAGATACAGCCTGATCATATCGAAGTGTCAATGCAACAATGATGCAGCATTTTACACAGACACACACTCGAAGATATATACATATATATATCAGAGAACTTTTTAGGACAACCAAAGCAGTTTTGTGAGTTACATGCTTCTTGTGTAAGGAATGATGAAAATGGAGTTGGAGTTTTGTTGGATGATTTTCACAGCATTAATAAGTGTTTTTGTTGCAACATGGTGGCTTCTGAAGAGAGCAAATGAGTGGTTCTATGTGAGCAGGCTTGGTGAGAAGCAACAGGCTCTCCCTCCAGGTGATATGGGTTGGCCTTTGATTGGAAATATGTGGTCATTTCTCATTGCTTTCAAACATGGCAACCCTGACTCGTTCATTTCCAGCTTTGTTACAAGGTCTCCTATCTTCCCCTCTCTCTGGTCTTTTATGAGCTTGCTTAATTTTGCAATGAACATTTTAAAGCTTGTATGTTACCTTACCCAATTGTTAACGTCCATGTCTGGTCTTCACTTGCATAAATTTGACCGTGCTGCTTTGAGACTTAGTTACAGACTCGGCATATCATCATCCTGATCACCAAAAAAAAAAAAAAAAAAAAATCAATCGGATTAACTCACTGTAAAAATAGTATATTGGATATGATTAATTGTCCTGGAACCAGGCATGTTACTTAATACTTACAAATACTATCTCTTGCTTTTGATACTAAATCCATGCAACACTAAGTACTCTTACGGCTTTAACATATAAAAGTTTCTACACAGAACTACCCAAAATGGGTCGATACAGATGTAGGAATATCTTATGCTTTTAGACCACTCATTTCATGATAAAGTCTTCCTTGTCCTGGAATATTTGCTTTTTCGAAGCTCTGCTTTTGAAGCGAAAATGTTGTACAATATCAATGGGAAACTTCACTAGTTTATTCCTGCAAGAAATAATTTCAAAGTTGCAAGACATTTGAAGGGGCAAGAACCTTTTGGTGGAGCCTATTCTTTGGAACCATGAAAACTGGTGTTTCAAGAACGGCTCCACCTCATGGTTCGTGATGGTAGATAGCTTGTCAAACTATAATTTTTCTGTAGAATCATTATTTTCTTTGTTTTTCTTTTTGGAATTTCAGATTTGGTCGGACGGGTGTTTACAAGGCCTTTATTTTTGGAGTCCAAGCATAATCGTTACTTTGCCTGAAACATGCAGACAAATCTTAATGGATGACAAAAGATTCAAAAATGGCTGGCCTAAAGTCACCCATCAATTGCTTGGGAGAAGATCATTTGTGGGACTTTCAGATCAGGAACACAGGCGCCTGCGCAAGCTAACTGCAGCACCAATCAATGGACGCAAAGCTCTAACCATGTAGCATGAATATATCAAGAATGCCATAACAACTTCTTTGGATGAATGGGCTAGCAGAGAGGAGCCAATTGAGTTCTTAACTGAGATAAGGAAGATCACATTTAAAATAATCATGTACATTTTTATGAGCGGCGAAAGCGACCCAATTATAGACACTTTGGAGAAGCTGTATAGTGACTTGAATTGTGGGATAAGAGCTATGACCATTAACCTCCCTGGTTTTGCTTATCATGAAGCACTCAAGGTAACATAGTTTTACTTTTCCAACCTTTTGTTCGTTTCTCCGAATATTTATCTTGCGCTATCAAGATGATTTCACCCTTCAGATTTTTTATTTTTTATTTTTTTTAAGGTTGCTTTTGAAACACCACCTTTACTTCTCTTGTCTATTTGATATATTTTATCTACAAGATAGCTGTAAGAACTTTCCTGGCTCCCTGAGGCCATAGTGACAAGGCACGGAGAAAGAACCCAGCCAGCTGTAAGCATAAGCTTGCACTCCTACTCAACCCAAAACTAGTTGCACTCCTGGAAAAGAGTTCACTGATAATGTGTCTAGAGCTAACAATGCAACCAGAATTTTTAATTTTCTTTGCCATATCACAAATGTGATTAATTCCGCCCTTTTAGCAGGATCTATCTCTTAGATAATGGTTGTCATACTTGAACAGCTATTTGTGTTTGTAGACTTATCTAAGAGACAGAGTGTGATGTTGTTGTGCTCATTCCAGGCGCGAAAGAAGTTGGTGAGGATTCTTCAAGCTATTCTAGATGGAAGGAGGACAAGAAAGAATGGTGATTTATCCGAGTCAGAGACACACAAAGATATGATGGATATGCTAATAGAAATCGAAGATGAAAACGGTAAAAAAATGGATGATGAGGAGATCATAGACTTAATCCTTGTGTATTTAAATGCTGGCCATGAGTCTTCTGCCCATGCCACAATGTGGGCAGTTCTCTTCCTAGAAGAACATCCAGAATATTTCAACCAAGCTAAGGTGAGTGAAATTCTCTGGTAGGTTGATTTGAATCTTGCTACTTCAGCTAAACTTGCACAAATCCTTGCACTTCCTGAAAACCCTTTCAATTTGGAGATATATATATATATAGTTAGTTAGTTAGTTAGTGATTTTCAGGTTCCAATTAGCATTTGGAATGCTGCGGAATTACATATTCAACTTTTTCTAGTAAAAATTGCTGCTTGCCGACGACTATAGTTGTTATTATGTGCATTCAACTTTGTTCTTCAAAACTAGGACCCGGATCTCATAGGCTGCTTGTCATTTCCCTTATAATTTTAGGCAGAACAGGAGGAGATAGTAAGAAGAAGACCATCAACAGAAAAAGGACTGAGCTTCCAAGAAATAAAACAGATGGAATATCTTCCCAGGGTAAGCATGTTCAGAAGAAAAAGAACTGCATTCAGATGTTAAACCAAAAACAGTAGTGTTGCTTCATTTTCATTTAATTAATGTCCAAATTATTCCCAATTAAGTTGACCATAACAGTTTCTTCATTTGCAAGTATTTAATGACTAATTTTCTTTTCTGATCTAAAGGTAATTGATGAAACATTGCGTGTGAGGAATATCTCATTGTTTACTTTCCGAGAAGCAAAATGTGATGCTAATCTTGGTGGTAAACATTTCTTTACTTCTGTTGTGATTTTTCTTTCTTCTTTTTCTTAATGGATCTCCGCTGTGGTTGTTTCCTTTTCCCCTCTGTATCAATCTATTCGCCATTCACCGAGAGATATTGCATTTTCAAGGTTACATCATACCCCAAGGTTGGAAAGTATTGGTTTGGTTTAGAGCTGTCCATTTGGATTCAGAAAATTATCCGAACCCTAATGAATTCAATCCTTGGAGATGGAATGTAAGACAAGACGCATTTCTTGATTATTTCATTTTCAAAGCAGATTCATATATGTTGTGCTAAAGTATGTCAGCACACGGACTCTGTGTAGGAACATAGACAGAAAGCTGGATCTTTTATTCCATTTGGAATAGGGAGTAGGCTATGTCCGGGGATTGATCTAGCCGAGCTTGAAATTTCTATCTTCCTTCATTATTTCCTCCTAAACTACAAGTGAGTTCTCTTGCTGTTTCATGGAATTATATTTTGTTTTGAGAATAGTTTTTTGGTAGGCTTAAATTTATCTCATCTCTGGCTGGTTGTCCAGCAAAACCATGTTTGTGGTCATCTTTTAAACTGTCAATCAGAAGTGATTGTATGGTTTCCATGACGGAGCGCACCCCTTCATGACATCAAAATACTGCCATGTATTCACAAAACCAAAACGTTTTCCTTTTCTTTTCTAACTGCAATGAGTTTTTGATGTGCAGGCTGGAACGATTCAATCCAAGGTGCAGGTTGAGATATCTACCTCATACGAGGCCCACAGACAATTGCCTCGCAAAAATCAGAAAAATCACATGAAAGAGTACTCAGATTTTCCGCATCAATGCAACTTGTTGCTTCAGTCATGATAAAGACATATGATGAACTAAAAGACTTTGAATGCTTGCAGATTTTCCTTTTTTTTTTTTTTTTTTCAAGTAGTCTTGCAATGTTTGGTGTTTTAATAAAAGCCCATTCTGCAATTCAAGACGGTTCAAATTTATTGGGTGAATATTGTGGTTGAATTATCTTGGTTAGGATCACACTGAACAACATTTCTTTAAATTCGGGAATCCTCACTGGCTTGCAGATTAAAAAAAAGAAAAAATTCTGCATGTTTAGAAAAAGAAAAAATTCTGCATGTTCTCACTGCTTTCTGCTTCTGGAGTTTTGCATCGAGACGGTCCTGCTACTATTTAGAATTCCTGGTTTCTTCTGTAGTCTTTCATTTCTGCACTTGCAAATACTAAAAAGTAAGTGGTGCGATATTGTTAACGCAATTATGTGATTCTGCTACTGGTCTACCGCAGGGAGCTGCAAGTTAATATTCTGTCGTTCTGCTTGGTTTGTAAGGGTGTCTTAAGGAGGGCGCTTATGTGGCTAGAATTTTTCTGAATTTGGCGTTCTGCGAGAGATTTCCAAAGGAAAAATTGAAAAATATCAATTGCTTGCAGGCTATGAAAGAGTTGGGATGAAATTAAACGTTGGATAGATGCAACATGTGTGCTTCATGAACATTATCTCATATCTACTATTAGCTGGAATGTTTGTGTTATACGGAGCATTCTCTCTTTTGTTTAGTAGGAAATCAGGTAGAAGAATTAAGAAAGCATTCCTTTTTTCTTTGTTACTTATTTTCAAGATTGCATAAAATTTCCGTAGACACCAAGCATCATCTTGATGCGAGTATGGATCAGGAAATTCGCTGAAAGATAAAGGACGAATCCAATGCAATGGAAAAGGGAGCAAGGGGAGTTATTTATATATATATATATATATATATATATATATATATAGGGTGGACCAAGTTGGAAATGATTTATAACGACTGACAAGAATTCAGAGAACATAAAACTTTTTTACGGTTTTAGAATAGGTTAGTCCAAGACAACAGCATATGCAAAGCACAGTAAAATCCTAATGAGCTTCTTCCTCACAGAGTTTTGTGTATTCCTTTGGACCCAATAAGGATTCTAATTCTGATGGGTTGCTTGGCTTCACCTTGATCATCCATCCCTTTTCATATGGACTGTTGTTTATCTTCATCACACAAATTGTCAAAGTCAGAAATATATAGTACAGTATGAGCAATTAGAAATGGACTTATAAAGCTGAAACAACCTGGTTTGGTCCGGTTTGATACTTACCAATCCAGGAGTGTCAGTAAGCTGTGTATTAACCTCAACAACGTCACCAGAGATTGGAGAATTGACATCACTAGTTGCTTTCACACTTTCCACTGCTCCAAAGCTCTTCCCTTGGCTGACGGAACTTTCCGTTTCTGGCAGGTCCACAAACACTACTTCTCCCAGATGGTCCTGTAAAATAAAATGCATCCAATATTTCCCGTCATATCCAATTTCATTGACTTCCCAAACTAGGAAACAAATTGTAACAGTAACAATATATATATATACTGCATTCAATTGTAATTTTCCAGAAGAAAAACAAAGTAGCCACTGCCCCTTGGTCTTGTTCATGCATGTTTTGGTGTTGTACAAACCTAAACCATCAGCTGCCAGTGTTCAAGCTTCGGTAACAGCAGCGACAGAGCAAACAAAAGAAAAACAAAGTAGCCAAATAGAAAGCAAAGTAAAAACAATTTTTTTTTAATAGGAAAATTAGATAAGGTTATTGAGTTATTCATTCAAGCAACCCAAAAAAGAAAAGCTGAATTTCCATCATATCCTTTGTGGTCTAATTGTGGCTACAGCTTACCATATGAACAACTTAAAAAGGGATGGTTGTAGAAGCCTAGAAGAATCACAGTGACATACAACCATGCACAATCTCATCCAAAACCACAAGCAAAGGAATGTCTATGCAAACAAAAACTTTTAACCCTAGAAAACTGGCTTAACTGAGAAACCACTCAGTTAGTATAAGAAGAAACTCACTACAGGGAGATAAAGAAAAGATGACCTGAGCATGATCGGTAATGCCAATAGTTGCCACCGAGCCTTCATGCTTCACCCATTCATGTGAAGTTGCATACTTCAACCCATCTAGAACTGCAAAATCCAACACGGTTGTAATATTATCCTCCTACACTACAATAAAGTCTGCAGAATAGCTTTTAAAAGGACTAAAAGAGAACCCGGTTTTTAACCAACAAATTGCAAGAGAAAAAAAAAAAAAAAAAAAAAACCACTGGCTGATGACAGAGAGAGTACCAGTGGAGAAGGATCTTGAGAGGGAGAATGAAGGAGAGAGGTGAGCTGTGGAGGCAACAGAGATTCTCAGTGCATTAGCTGTAGAAGAGGCCCACAATCTCAGTGCCATGTTATCTCTTGATCTTTACTATTTGCTTTGGTTGTGTGTATTTTGGTTGTCTCCAAGCCTATGGGCAATTGAGAGGTTCTATCTATATATTTCTCAGGTTTTATCTTGGATGAATGGTTGGCAACAAAAGCCTCATCCTCAGACCTTGGCACAAAGACCCAGTGCTCTTTTGTCATCCTTATCATTGTTTTTGTGATCGGTAAACAATAATATAAATTATATCTTGAGCTATTATTATTGTTTTTGAATGAAATAATCATTTCTTTAATTAGTGTTTGGTCCTACTCTCTAAGGATTAATGGAGGGATTCAACGAGCTCTGCGCCATGTATGGCAGTCAAACGGCATGGTTGAAATCTCATTAACTCCAAGTTATCCTGAATAATAATAATAACTTTTAAATTAAAAAAAAAAAAAAAAAAAAAAAAAAAAACCTCCAAGTTATCACCACATAATTTGTTATGAATAGTTATTATGATGTTGATAGGATGTTTAAGGATCAATTTAGTCTAACATTATTTAGTAAATAAGCTTTCACTTGTAAAACAAATTTAGAATTCGATATTTATGCTCAATACTTTTAAAATTTTATTTTCAAAATATTTATAATTTTCAAAATATCTGAATAAAGAGTATTTCTTAACTACGTTAAAAAAAAAAAAAAATTAATCTTGAGATAGATGAAAGCTCATTCGAAAACATCATTATTATTGAACCTAAAAAAGTAACTTAGTCCAATATTATCTTATTTTTTTGAATTTCCAAAGTATTCCAAATTCTAAGATTCAGACTAATTCTTCGTTGTTCTGTTAAGCGTACAAGACAAGCACAACTATCCAAAAAGTTTTATGCATATACAAAAATTCGATTTCTAAACCACTTACTTAACCGATTAAAGTTTTTTTTATGCTGAATCCAATATTATCTTATTTGATATCTAATAATTCACACAATTAACTTATTTGAATAAAACAAATTTGAGTTTCATTCATTTTAGTTTTTTTTTTTTTTTTATCTATAACGTAAGGAAGAAGATTACCCCCTCTCAAAAAAAAAAAAAAAGACATTTAGTACGATTGGATTTCATTTGTTGTCCTTGTTCTATTAACCACTAAGGGCAACATGAAAAACCTTTTGGAAATTCAAAGATTATATTGAAACCTTTTAAACTAAAGAGGTGTAAGTGGAATATTGTTGAATCTATAGGGATGCAAATATAGTTTACCCTGTAATTTACTATTTGCTTCTACATGCTTCCTTTGATTCGAGACAGCAAACAGTTTTCTCTTCATGAAAAACATCAATCAAGTTGAGGGTTAAAATTAAATCCAAATCAAAACCAAGATTAGCATAGATCAATCCAATCAGCGTCTGATGGGAGAGATTATTGTAGAAGATGAAGAAGAGAGCAATCACAACAACATCAACAAGAATGCTAATATGATAGAAATCACTGTTAAAACCATTGGCCCTTCTCCTACATCTCCCCTTGTTGTTCCCTCTCCCGTCAAAGTACGCCTCTTTCTCTCTTCCTCCTTCTCATACTTATTTTGATTTTTGGGTTTTTTTACCCTTCTTGGAGAGTTTGTTTTGTTATCCAATTTCGTCTGTTGAATAAAAGTTTGGTTCTTAATGTTGTTAAATTGGCTTAGCCATGGATTAGAGAAAACCCTCTTAATAATTTGCTTTTAGTTCTTAAGGGAAGGGTTCTTAGATTGATATTGTTGTGGTAAAGTGCCAAAACCCCATTACTAAGAGTAACAAGTAGAAGCTTTAAATATCTTAATTTATGTTAATTAAGGTTTAGGAAATTTATCAATGTAAATAGACGAACAAGGTAGAGTTTATGGGTCGAATTCTTGATTATAAGTCCACAAAGTAGACCAGCATTGTGTTCTATGGTTTTTGCTCTCTTTGGGTGTGATGGCTTGCCTTCTTACGATTTGTAATTGCACTACAGATTGAAGTTTGACTGGTATTGAATGTTTGCTTGAAGTAGAAAGTGAGGTTTAGTTTGAATTCTAATTCTGTTTCCTTATCAAATAACCAAGTTTGAAATGGACAATAAAGATGCTTGTCACTGCCATTTCTTATATTGATTTTCAATCATAATAGGTTCGTGATTTGAAGAAGTTGATTGCTGAAAATAGGCATCTACCAATTGAGAATTTGAGGCTTATTTTGCGTGGGAATGTATTGCATGATAGCAGAGATGAGGATGATATACGGCTCAATAATGGAGGTACAGGTCATTTCTTTAGTATTAGTATTATCATTCATATGTTTTCTTGTTCCTGTATAATTGTTGTTTTCCTGTGATAAGAATATGTTATATTTTCTTCTGCTGTAATCTGTAATGAATTTTTGAAGAAAGATAATGAAGTTTTTAAATTCATAATATATTATCTGATTATGTTGATGCTAAATATTACGACACCATAGAAACTAAAAGGGGTTCAAGAAATAGCCAATTTCAATCTTAAGCCAGTTGGAATCATCTTGGTAAAACTTTCACTATTCAAGGAAATAAACAATAAGAAGTTGCATGGTTCAGTTTTCATCTTACCCTGTTTCTGGTCCTTCCCACCATGTTTCTGTCCAGTACTGTAGTTGACATTGAGTATGTTCTTTTGCAATATTATGCATTTGGTCTGCATGTGTTTTTCTTTGTAACACTAAATTATTTGTGGTAATTTCATGTTTGTGGAAATGGTGGGTGTGGGACTTATTGGTTTCATTTGTCTTATTAGCCTTTTATTTGTGGCCTTCGGTCTTTCTTATTAGTTTTCAAATTTTAAATTTATCCATGGAACATATTCATGTAATTAAGGTGTTTGAAGAAGAAGAAAATTACTAGGTTATGTTGCCATGACAAGTGGCATGATCCATGCTCAGAGAATGATTTTAATAATGTTGTTGAGAGAGAGATTCCTTTAAAGGGGATCAAGATTTTCCATAACATAGACCATAGGGTTCTCTGCAATGCTATGATTATAACTATACAGTACTAATTAAAGCCTTACTATTGATTGAAGTGCAAATGTTTTTGTTCACAAAGGTTCTGAAAACTGATACCCCTATCTAGTTTAAAATAATTCCTGGTAGTTGATTTTGACAAACACTTGTTTCCTGATAGAAATAAAAGTGATTGGAAAGCTATAATTACCAGACTGCAGATGCTGTTGATTGTATATTTTAAGTTATTGCATTTTGCTTCAGCCTAAGTATCGACATAACAAAAATGCTAACCACAAACATAATTTCATGGGCCCATGCTACAATTTAGTTTCACTGATAATGTTCAGTTTACTTACTGCAAAGTTTTCTAATTAAGCTTCATGTTTTTCTTCTAAGATCTAGGCATTTTCTGTTTACTTTCTAGATTCCCTGATTGTTGCTGTCAAACCAAAGCCACCAGCAAAACATCTTCGAGATGGATTTGATGATGATGATGATGATGATCTGGTATTGATGAATAATTAATCCTCTCAAACTAAGTTTAGGTCAGTTTTAGAAATACAGATCACTTATTTGTTAAGTTGTTTTTCTTAATTTTCGACTCTCCAGAAGTTTCAGCTGCCACTATCAGCAACTCAGTGGAAGAGGAGGCTTTATCTCTTTCTGCATGATAAGTTGAAGATCCCTGGTAAGCATCTACTGGAACTACTTTTTAATGTGAAGAACAACAATATACTGATAATTCTATTTTATCTCATTGATAGATATCCTTTTGGTGGGACTTTTCTCTCTCAGTCTGAAAGCATGGACCGTTATTATTTTATGGTTCATTTTGGCACCTGTTGCCCACAGATGGGATCTTGGACCTATATATGTAAGTTGCTTCCCGTAGTGAGTTACCTTTTTTTACGAATGTGTGGGACCTGTTTTATTTTTCAGTAGCAACTTTGATCTTTCTAAGAAAATGAAGAGGATTTGAATTGGATCTTTTCTGACCTCTTGCTAGCCTTGTTGTCTTTTCTTTTCTTTTTAGCCTTGTTGCCTTTTCTTTTCTTTTTTCTTTTTTATTTTTTTATTTTTGGCTCAACCTAAGTTGAAAATGAGATTGGATCCTGCTCAATGTAGCCCATCAAAGTCACCAAAACAATCATTCTGATATCTGCTGTAAAATTTAATGAATAGAATGTCCTATAATATATCTCTTCCTTTCCAATGCTGAACTGGTGGGCATTAAAAAAGTCTATCTAGCAAATGCCCATTAAAAAAAATTGTGGTAGCTGATTGCAAATGTGGACTTATGCCATGACAGTGATCGCCTTTTGGATTTTTTTTTTTTTTTTGGCAGAATCAGGACCATATCTATGCTAATACGATTAAATGTTTGCTTGGTTGAAGTGATAACTTGATAATGACATTTTAAACCCTGTGAAATAACATCCATATAGTGACTACATTGAGCCGGAAATTGCCTTTGGCTCATCTTTAGCATATAGAAATAGCAAAGCAAAATCCAGTTCTCATGCCCAGAGGATCACCATAGGTTGTTGTAGTAAACAGATAGACTACTTTGGTATGTTGTACGCTTTTTATATGGCCTGCATCTTTTGTCTGTCAAATTACCTATATTTATTTCTCATTAGTATTTCTTGTATTCTCATTTCTGGTCACTACTTAACTTTCAGATACTGGGCACAGGCTTTGCTCTCATCCTTCTGAATCTTGGGCGGAGGCAAGCTGGTGATCTCAGGTACAGAAAATAGACTAATTGGAATAGCTAGCTTGGGAATTTTTGTTCTTTCACTTGATTGTATGTCCATGCATGTCTGTGTGTGCCTAAGGCAGCTGAAGTACTTGACATGAGTTCCTTTGTCATCATGATTATCATGGAAATTAAGATGTTTGCCATTTTCCTATCCATGTTTGCAGATAGATATGCATAGAGTCATTCAGCTCATTATTTTGGTTGTCTCCTAATTTTGCTGATTATATTGGCCCTCTATTTCTTTGGTAATTTTCCATGGTGAGCTATTATGATGTTTTGACTTCAGGTCCAGATACTTTATTCTTTCTTGTAACTCTTGCTGTTGTGCAATTCTCCATGCTGTTTTCTAGTGTCTGCTCGCTCTGCTGCTTTTCCATCCATACTTTTATTTCTTCTTCTTCTTCTTCTTTTAAGAAAATGTGATTCACCTATGTTAATTTTTCAGTCTCATTTCTTGGTGTTTGATGTTGCAGTGCTTATTCTATCTTCAATGAAGACTTCAGGGAGCTTCCTGGGACCCTCAATGCAGATCGTCTGGATAGAGACATTCGAGCTGGCCAGTTTTGAAACTTAGACGCCTACTTCAGTGCTGCTTTCAGGTCTGCATGCTGTAACAAGTTATTCTCCAGCTTTTTGATATATTTGTCTATACGCCATCTGCACAGAAAGTTTTGACTTATGCTAACAAATTGCCACCCACATTTTCCTCCTTCTTCTCACTGTGTTTCCCACTGTTAGATTTAAATCGTGTGTTTTTTTTTTTTTCCTTCTTTTACTGGTAGAAACTGATGAAAACACCATTTGTCTCATTAGAGTATAGATACCTGTATCAGATGAACGTGTTTGGAATGACGAGAAATGGAGGGTTAATAGAAAATGAAAAGCAATTGAGTTGTGGAATTATTGCTCTAATTCTCTGAAGAATTTGAGGATTTTTGTAGCCAGCTTGTTTTGTGAGGTTTAAGAAGCTGAAACTAGAGAGCTGGGCAAAATATATAAAATCTTTGAAAGACATCATTTCAGTCTGATGGCTTACGTTGGGTCCAGCAAAATATATCAAATCAAAGGTTACAAAAAAAAAAAAAATCCATTCAATTTTATGATTTTTTTTAATCAAAATTTTATATTTGACTAATTATTCATTATGTTTTTATAAATTTTTTTATTAAAAGAAAAACATGATTTATTCTTCTTTATCTGGATTCTTAACTAAAAATTTGTAATAATCTAAAAAAAAATTAAAAATTCTCGAATTTTTAACTAAAAACTTTTATTTTATAAATTTAATCTAAAGATTAAAAGAGTTTTTAGGTAATTGATGTCAGATTTAAAAAAAATAATTTACAATATATATATATATATATATATATATATATATATATATATATATATATATAAAAGTTTCTATCATTTAAAAAATCTAACAATTCATCATATAAATTATATAAAGTTTTTTAAGAAAAATTAATTATATTTTAAAATTTTATCCAAAAATTCTTAAATAGAGAAAAATAAATTATCTTTGTCAATAAATAAAATTTACACAAAATAAAACATTAATTGGATTACAATTTTCATAAAAAATGACAAACTAAATGAATAAATTTTAAATACTAAAAGTAATATAATGTAAAATATATATTTATTTTAAAATATGAAACATATCTTTTTTTTCTCACCAAGCTTCAAGTAAATTCAAAAAAGAAAAAAGATCAATTTTTCATAATTTTCATCCAAAAATCCGTAATAAAAAAACAAATAAATTAAAGAAAAAAAAAGAACTGAGTTAGTTCTCCAGGCCCGCTCTGGCCTCGTCTTAAAAAAATAACTAAACGAAACGAAACGAAACAAAACAAAACAAATGACACTTGTCCGTCTGCAACTTTTGCCAATCGTCGAAAACATTGCTGAAAAACGACTTTGTATCAATTATTTCTTTTTATAGACTTTTGTCAAAGTGTCTAACGATGTGATATTTTTTTTATGTTTTAATTGACTTTCAAAATTTTTATTTTTTTAATTAAGTGCTCATTTCTCAATTATATTTATTGTCTTTTTTTTAATTAGAATAATATTTTCTTTTTTCATCTCATATTTCTCAAATTTAATAACTTCATATAAAAATATATTGACAAAAATACACAAATTCAAAATTATAAATTTCATATATTTTAATGAAATCATAATGATCTAATATCAAAGTTAATATAGCTCTTGATAAAAGAAAAAAAGTTAGCATAATAACTAATGATGTGAAGTTTAATAATTGACATAATATATATATATATATATATATATATATATATATATATATATATATATTCAGGAGATAAATTTTAATATGATTGAAAGATAAACATTTAATTGAGATTTTTTAAATATTTTAAGAAGTCAATTGAAAATTTAAAAAATATTGCGTCATTAGTTATGATAGTTTAATATGTGGAGAAAGAATTGAAATTTTGATGAAAGTTCCATGACGTAATTAATACAAGTTAAATCTCACGGAAAAAGAAAATGCAAAGCCCTCATACTTCAGGGGACAAATTAAAATTTAACCATTATAATAAAATGTGTAAGAATTCCTTCCCAAATATAAGTTACCAACTAATGAATTGGTTCCCTCCTTCTCACCTCATGAAAAGTTTTACTTTCATTGTTTTTCAAGTTTTTTTTTGAAAAAAAAAAAAAACTGTTTTCTTTCTTGATGAATGCCAAGGTACACGTAAATGTCAATGAAGGTCCCATAGCATGTTTGGTTAGATACAAGGAATCTTGTAACGTCATGTAATGTCTTCTTATATTTTTATATTTAGCTATATAATTTTTGAAATTATAATGTAATGAATAAGTACAATTGTAATGACTCATTACATTATAAGCATTACGTAAAAAAACAAAAAGAAAAATTATGTAATGAATTATTACATGACGAAGAGTAATCCTGCACGGATTTAATTGTTAAAATAAAAAAAAAGGCCATCATAAAAACTAAAATGAAACTTTTTTTAAGCCTTCATTACATTACTAAAAAATTTGCAATCAAACAAAGGAAAGATTATTCGCAAGAAAAGTCTCTCTACTCTTTAAATTTTTTTAATACAGTTTTTTTTTATCACGTTCTTCTGCTTTTCAATTTTTCTTAATGTAATATATTTGATGGTTTTTAGACAATTTCTCCATAAAAAATTACATGTAATAAAAAATATTATGCATCATTACATTTTTTTTTTTTAAGCTTTTTAGCAAAATGGGCTTTTTTAAATGAACTTGTTTGGTCTTGAGTCTTGACTCACGGGCTTTTTAGCAAAATGGGCTATGATAGAAATGTTAATCATTGTCACGGACCAACAATTCCTAGCTAGTTAATTTTATTTTTTTATTGATTAATTATTTCATTTTACATATACAGCATTTGAAACTGTCTATTATTTTCTATTTTTAAAAGTTTAAAATTATTCCTGCCAATGGCAACATAGATATTTGCATATAATTTACTGAAGGAACCTGCTTATTTTAACCTCCCTACAGAAGAAAACAAGCTGCCACATAAACTTCCACCAAAATAGCATATTTCATCTCCTATTTATAAAGTATCTCTAATCCTTTGAACAGCACTAAGACAGAAGCGAAAGAACACACTCCACTGTCTTGCTTTACTTCTTACAGTTCAATGAGATTATCGATCATTGGTTTTGTTGCAAACCCAACATGGCTTCATTGCAAGAACCATGGCTTTTGGAGAATGGCAACCTTAAGGGCACAAACCAAGGAAACGAGACACGTCATAAACAAAAACTTTGAAACTTAAATATCGAAACATGGCAGGACTGCACACAACATGTCATAAACAAAAACCATGCAAGATGAATTAGATTAAGAATTCAACCATGCAAGGCAGATAAATGAATATCCAACTTAAGCATAAATTAATTCGAAATATCTATATCTTCAAATAAAGTCATAAACAAAAACTTTGAAACTTAAATACCCGAACAAAACTTTCATTAGAAACATTCCAAGAAGTACGTACTGAAATAATCTACTAGGCAAGGACAATGACTAAAAACAATGACGCAAATAAAACTCATTAAGCATTGTCAGCCATACCAATGCGTTACCTTTTAGTTTATTCTAAACAAGGACCCAGCAAGGGGAAAAACAAAAAAACAAAAAAGAGAATGTGAATGTTCATTTAATTATTAATTGATAAGAACTTGTGAAATCACAGACAATCCAAACATAGACCATATGGGAATTCACATCTCTCCATTTTTGCCATTATACACATTACGGTTGGCAATCCAACCCCCGTCCCGCCCCACCCCGTCCTGTTTGAAGAAGGCATGGGGCATAAAATTTTATCCCAAAGAAGGCATGGGGCGGGAATAGTTTTTTTCTTTTCAAGCAGGGGCCCCGCCACGCTCCGTTTGGGGCGGGGATGGGGAGCGAATTTTCACTCCAAACTAGGCATGGGGCGAGGATGGGTTTTTTTTTTTTAGGAGCGAGACGGGGCGGGGATGGGAATGGTGATCGTCGCCCCGCCCCACCCTATTGCCATCCCTAATACACATCAAACTAAAGTAAAATAGAATATCACTATTCATTCATTATTTGAAATATTATTTCTCCGGATTCATTTCACTATTCACCAAAACTCAAATGTAATGTTCCTTTCACTATGCGAGTGGTATTTTTATAGTTTATAAACATTTTTAACACATTTATTATGAAAATTTTCGTAGCATTACACTTTGATCTTTTTTTAAAAAAATATGGTTTTTTCAATCTACAAATATTTTTTTTTTGTTTCGATCGCTTTTTTTGTTTCATTTTGATCACTTTAGTCTTTTTTTTTTTAAATAAAAAATTAAGATAAAAAAATATTTTAAAAAAATTACGAAATAAATTTTTAGCTAAGAATCCATTAGTTTTGACATTCTTTATACTATTAAATAATTTTTTTGATAAAAAATTTATAAAAAATATAAAAAAATAATCAATCAAATATAAAATTTAATGTATTTTGATAGATGTATAATATAACACGGGATATCAAAATGAAATAATTTTTAAAAATAATTTTATATATTTTATCCGATCCGTAACATAATTCGTATAAAAAATCTAGTTTGATACTAATTATTCATCACTTATGAAAGCATTGCTTTCAGAATTCCAGCTGTCCATTATGCCTCATGCTTACCATGTCATCTTTTTGTGCAAAGTTTAAAACATTGCTTGAATTTGTATGACAAATCCATAACACAGGGCTTTATTAGTCCCCGACAATTACTTGGCCCTGCTTCGCTTGACCCATGCTTGGGTTAGAGGTACATCCTCTAACCCAAACACGTTCAAGCACAACAAAAAACGCTTTAGAAGAAGTTTAAATAATGATTAAGTACATCCGGAATTATACTCTTTCCTTTCCTATCACATATCACATATACGAGCATGGGGCCATAAAAATTCATGAATCTCAATTATTATTATTATTATTATTATTATTATCTTTCTATAAGAGAGTGGGATATAACTTCAGGGTATACTAAATAATTTATAGA